AGCTAAAATGTTGGTTCTAGGACATTCACAATAAAATACTCTAGAATTTCTGGTGTTGGTCTGGGCATGGTAAATGGAATTTTACCTAACAAAATAAGAAACTCGTTGTGAGAAAGATACGTCGTGTGTTAAGAGAAATAAAGTTTGCTTCATTAAGCAGCAAACAGTAATCAAATCCTCTTTCCGGTAATAAACCAGTTTTATTAAAATGCATATATTTCAAAAGTTGTCTCTGAACACGTTCTATCTTACTAATGTGTGTTGCGCAATGTATGTACCAAATCAAGATATCATACTCCAACCTGCTACGTACATAACTTATATCGTCGCTTCAGAGCAGAAGTAGCCTAACTCCAAAACTTGTTATTTTTCGATTTTAATGACTTAGGATAGTTTGAAACACCACGGATTCAACACAGAAGTAACCTATGTCCATCTATATTACTTGGACAGTAACAGTTGAGTCAAAAAATATCCTATCTGAAAATTCAATTTTAATTTCAATGCAGAATCATCCTATCTTAAACCATAAGCCTAATTGGAACTTTAATTGGAGATAGGTTGGTTCTGCAACAATGAGTAATACAGAATATACCTAATTACCACAACTTTTTCAGATAAGATAGTTCTGACCTTAACGGCGCTCTCACAGTCAAGCAGAGTTTCTGAGGGGAATCGGGGGGGTGATAGGGAAATGCTAGTAGGACGGCGTTGTGACAAGGCAAGCGCTCTACGTTAGAAAAGGATAGTAATACGCAGAGGTGTGCTGTTCGCGTGCCTGGTTGAATTTGCATATTGCACAGAGTCGGATTTGATTTGGATATACGATCTAGAGTACGACTGTTTCCCTATTTTGGCGCATAGTATACTCAGCCCTTATTACTTTTATTACCGTTATTGTATTGTTGTATTATCGTGTTGTTATTGTTGTGTTGTTATTGTTGTGCTGTTATTGTTGAGTGTCTTTCTTATCAAGGTATCAAAAATGAACAATAAGAGAAATAAACATGGCGTCTCGAAGAAGCCGCATTTAAATACGCACAGGAAAAAAAAAACGTTTTCCAGATAGAAAAGTAGGTACCAAAACAATTATGAATTTTAGCATTCATTTTGCCAATAAATTAGACTATACGTAGTTACTATTATAACTATATTTTATATGTTATTTTAGCTTAAAAATGACAGCATGGTTTCGCATATGAATTCTCTAACAGAGACAGATGGCATGGATCTTCAAATTCAGGTGTGTATACCCTTTTTTTTTAGATTTGCACCAGAGGCTGATATCATTTCTGGCAATTCTGATTAAAAATGCAGTAAGTTTACTTCATGACGTCGATAATAGTATTGTAGAGCAGTTTAACTCAATCATAGCTAAATTCATTGGGGGTAAACGGATTAATTATTGCAAGAAGAGATCCTACCAAGGAAGATGTGCTGCAGCCGTAGTGAGCCACAATACACAGCGACCTGTTTGTGTGATCCAAAAGCGGCTTCTCCCTAGTTTCAGTCCAACCTCTTTGATTGCTAAAGTTGAAGAAAGGAGAGCGCACAAAAATCTGAAAAGGAAGCTGAAACCAAGGAAAATTAAAATCAGAGATAGTGATACTAAAGAGAACGCATCCTATGGGGAATTCTGTGAGAAGCCTGACATGAGCAACGAAGACATAGAGGCTGCCAAGGTAGAATTCTTGAAAAAACTTGCAAAAACCGACTCCAAAATTTCCCAGATCGAGCAAGCCACAAAATCTCAGAATTGCAATTTGTGGCGTCTTCGTCGAAGAATGAGGTTGACTGCGTCTCGGTTTGGTGAGGTTTGTAGAAGAAGAGATACAACAAGTTGCAGAGCTCTAGTAAACGCCATAATATACCCAACCGAATTCTTTAGCAATGCATGTGACTATGGAAAAAAGCATGAAAGCGTGGCAAAATCAGAAATAGAGAAATCATATTCGCAATCAGAAGTACAATCTTGCGGGTTGTTTATTGATAGGACCCATCCATTTCTGGCAGCATTGCCAGATGGTTTGATAGGCGAAAAAGGTCTGCTAGAAATTAAATGTCCATGGTCGGCTAGAGAAATGACCCCTGAAGAGGGCATTCTGGACAAAAAAATTACGTTTTGGATAAACGATGAAATAAATAAAATACATAAGTGGTATTACCAAATTCAAGGGCAGCTACACGTTGCACAAAGAGAGCACTGTGTGCTTGGTGTTTGGACCCCGTATGGTTTGAAAATAGACGTCATTCGAAAGGATGACGTTTTCGGGAAAAAATGAAATGGAAGAGAAATTGAAATTCTTCTACATGAACTGCTTGCTCCCAGAACTGGTCGATCCCAGAAAAAGCACAAAATATGCCAATCCGCGATCCCGATGTGATCTTGAAGGCACAAGAGAACCGTTTGAACAAGAAAAAGAGTTCTTGAGAATTGGCTATTTTTGCTGTACTCGGGTACCAAAATGGAAGAGATTAGCATATTACATTGTACGCCGTTACTAACCCCTTCGTGTCGGCAAATGCGGTGTGCAGATCTCGCTTTAGCAGCGATGTGCGAGATGTTATGCTAATCTCTTCCATTTTGGTACTAGTACCAGATGTTCACTATTTATTGTATATTATGTATATATTGTTTATTTAAATAAAAGTCAATCGTCAGGCTCAATAGCACGTAGCATCGGCTAGCTTTATCTAGTCTGTTAGATGGCGAATATTGAAATGTCACATTGACACGTTAAGCGCCACAGTAGAATCTGAAAATCCAGTCCACTGGGCCAAACTATTATTATTGTCAAATTAGCTTGTTTTAAGTTTCGGTTTAATATTTTGACTTGACTTTTTTCTCAAATCCTATGATTTTTCCCCTTTTTTGATTTTTTTTCTGAGGTACTAATTGTATGTCGCGTGGCCCACAGACCAGTCGGGTCGCGTGGCACATAAGTCGCGTCGCGTTTTTTGCAAGTCAAGACTTGCATCATGTCGCGCGTTGAGCACTGTTTCGTGTCATTTATTATTGAAGCGTTGTTGGTATTGTACGTCATCTTGTCCAAATTGCTTTACTGTTTATAAATTATTGAATACCAAATTTGTGATGTCACATTACGAAGCGGAGCAAAAAAGGCTTGAACAATTGTGTAATGAAATACTATCGGATGAAGAGAGTGGCAGTACTGAGTTATGTGGGGATGTATACTTATCTGATGCGTATTCTCCAAGTGGTAGTGAATCAGATAGTAGTTGTAGTAATTCCATATTTATCTGTATTACTGTTTATTTATACCGGTATTTTGTTTATTCCTGCATAAGACTTTGTCAATCTGTTTAGTTTATAAGAGTTCCTCCATATTTGTGTTCGTTAGAATATCGACATTTACCATAACTTACTGATTTGCTGTGAAATTACTTTGTTCATTTTTGAATGAGAATGTCTGATTATTTTATAAGATTTGCTTTTTGTTTTAGATTTGTAGAATATCCTCTTTTTGTAAAACTCTATAAACAACGTGTTTTTTAATGTTTTCATTTCCAATTCAGTATAATTTGGTCCCTCAGGCCACGGACTCTTGGTTCCCGTAAGAAAATCACATCAGCATGGCACACGTCTTACGTTACGCGGCCAAATATAACTGCCAGCAGTGAGACATATCATGTGTGTCACGAGGCCCAAAGCGCCAAATGAGCTGCGACACACGCATTATATCTCATGACGCTTATCGTGTTAAGTTTATTTTACGATACTCCATAAGGTTAAAGCTAAACAGCAAGTGACATTTTATTTGTGGTAAATGCGTTCACTATAATTATTATTTTTAACTAAAAAGATTACCGCCTCCAATGACCCTGGAACCACCTGGAAACTTTTGGTCACAAAGTTCTGTATTTTACCACTCATGTCAAGTCTTTTCATTTGATATGTAAATTGGGGGTTTTGTACAAAAATATGTAACTCGCAATTTCGAAACGGCGGCAATCCGGCAATCTTGGAATCAAATGTTTAGTGAAGTACTGTATTCTACAAGGCGACGACTCTTATTTGAGATATTAGCAAGTATGTTATCCGCCATTTTGTAACGGCCGCCATCTTGATTAGAAACTGTTTTCGTATTACTGTTTTGTACAAGTGCTTCCATTTGATATCCATATTGGGGTGATTGAACAAAAATGATTTTTTGTGGTATCACCTCTGAAGCATGGCCTATTGTATAAAAAGAAATGATCAAAATCGATTGAAATTTTCCCCTCTTTCATTGAAGTCTATTAAAAATATCACTTAATGGTCCGATGTTTATCTCGAACGACCGACGTTAAAACTGCTACTGTTTAACTTGGGACAACAAATTATCTGAATACGTCCTTTCTTAGTCCGTACACACCGCCGCGTTGCTTCGACTGGCAGCACGAGATAGTGGATAAAATTCGTGTAAAAGCCTATTTGCAGAGGTTTTCGCGCTTCAAAATTGACGCTTCATTTTTGAATATTTTTCAATGAAATTTTCACAGTGCACTAAAAACAAGACTCCACAGGGTGCTATAGAGCCACTTTTTCGTTTTTTCCTCTGGGTTATTTTTAAAAAAATCGAGAAGTCGAACAACAATTATCTGCACTTCCACCCACCATAACTCCTGAAAAAAAATTTTTTTTAGAAAAGTGGCTCTATAGCACCCTGGACAATTGTCTTCTTAACATACTGTATAAATTTTATTCAAATATATAGAAAAATGGAGCGTCAATTCCGAAGCAGCTAAACCCTTGTAAATGGCCTGAAACTCACTGCGTCGGAGCCGCCTTAACAAAAGTAGTCGATATCCAGCATAGCGTGGAGTTAGGTTAGTTCTGTTTACGCATATGGTACAAAATTACCGCGTTTGGGAAATAGACTTGTCCTGACTTGCAAAATGCATAGTTAGGATATTTCGTTTTACACATTGGCTTTTTTGAACAGTACAGTGGATGCTTTCATACAGAACGGACGGTTGTCATTGTGTTAACTAGAAAGATGTTTTCCACTACAAGAAGTTCAAGAATCATGAGACTCGCAAGACAAGAAAATAAGTGCAGATATTCAGGTGAGCTATATTTTGTGAAAAATCCATAGGTAGACGATTAGACATTTTTAATTTTTCTTAGACGATATTGGAGTAGCAGTGAAGCAAGATGCTGGATCAGTAATGGACAAAAACAAGCATTATGAATATTATGGATGCCCTAATTTTGAATCAGCAGATATGAGTGAAGGTAAGTCAAAGGCTTTTAATTATTACTTTTACATCACGGAAGTAGATGTTGTATCGAAAAAAAATCAAAAAAGTTGTATTCTCTAAATCGAGTTAAAATGTCTCAAAATGTGTGAAAAACCTAATTAGAACAAAAAATTTGAAACATTTTTTTTCTATTTTGGTTTTATAAGGAAGACTTTTCCATACGCAAAGTAGTCTCGAAAAGAAGCTCTAAATGCGAATGTCACTTTAGAACCTTAACGGCCGTTAACTTCAAAATGAATTATATATGACTTTCAAAATAACATATTCTTAAGTGTTTTGATTGACAGTTTGCTTAGGACGTTAATCTTAAATTTTAAGGTCATATTATGAAATTGATTGATGTCGTTTTCATAATGTGATTTTAAAGTTAAAGTTACAAAGTGACATTGATGTGTTACTTTAAGGTGCTTTGTCTAAAAGTCTTCGTTCACATGCCAATGATATAATATATTTAGACTTTACACTAAATTCATAATATGAAAATGACAATTCTCTTCACTTTGTTTTTCAGATAAAAACCAGCAAAACAGCAAACTTCATTGTCGAGACTATAGATGCCATTTGATGAAATCTGCTCATCTAAATCCTCCTGATTTCTTAGTTCCGAAAGAAACCAATGTTTTCAATCCCACCATTCATGACGTGCCATCCGACGATATGTGGAAACAAATTTTCACCAATGATACACCCAATAAAAACATGTTGGCTTCGCTATCTGGACTGGATGAAGTAGACAATCAACCATCTTGTTCTTTTTATGGTACCTCTAGCAACCAAATGAACACTTATGATAAAAATAATGTAGAAGAGGATATTTACCTTTCGTCATCTGAAAATGATCCATTTGAGACGGATGAAGACTCAGATTACGAAGAAGATTCTGAAATCGAAGACGATAGTGTACAAAATCTACCAATTAGAAAACAGAAACGGAAATGCATTAAACGATTTACACAGAAAGAAAAAACGAGGAAAAGAACAAGAAATGTGACTACATGGAAAAGGAATGAAATAAAATTGGCAAGAAATTCAGGCAAAGAATACCTAGACTGGAAAGGAAATACTCACAGTGCAAGAAAGTTGAAAGATCCATGTAAAAATTGCAAAAAGAAATGTGTAGAGAGAATCGGTCATACCGAACGAGAAGAAATCTTCAAAGACTACTGGAGTTTAGCTGATATTAACCGGCAAAGGGACTTTATAGCACATCATGTTGTAGTAAAGGTTAAAGGTAGAACTAGGTTACAAAAACAATCTTTAAATTCGGATGATTCTGACGAACCACCAATCATGCAAGAGAGAAGCAGACGTACTTTTACCAATTTCTATTACTTGACGGTACGAGAAGAAAGAATTTCCGTTTGTCAAATTTTCTTTCTAAACACACTTTGTATAAGTGCTCAAGTGGTGAAGACCGTGATCAAAAAATTGGGATCTACAGGCGTTATTAGTGCCGACAAAAGGGGAAAAGTTTGCAAAAACTCCCAAATTGATGATACTGTGAAGCAAACAGTAAGGAATCATATCAATTCATTCGATTTTAGCGAAAGCCATTACTGTAGAATAAACACCTCCCGTCTTTATCTACCACCAACTCTTAACATATCCAAGATGTATGTTTTATATGAGGAATATTGTAATGATAACAACATCAAAGATACCGCCACAGAAAGTATGTATCGCACTATTTTTGTAGAGGAATTCAATATATCCTTTTTTAAGCCTAAAAAAGATCTTTGCGACATTTGCCATGCAAATGAGAACTCATCGGAAGAAGAAAAACTGAAAATTGAAGAAGAATACCGGTTACATAGAGAAAATAGGTTAAAAGCAAGAGAATCTAAAGATAGGGATAAGAAAAAAGCTACTGAAAGTTCGAGTTTCGTAGCAGCAGCATTTGACCTCCAGAAAGCTCTTCCTGTACCTAAATCTGAGGTTGGATTGGCATATTACAAGTTGAAACTTCAAACCTATAACTTTTCAATTTACAACTTAGCTAATAATAACGGACTGTGTTTCATGTGGTATGAATGCATAGCGAAAAGAGGTTCATGCGAAATTGGAAGTTGCCTCATTCTTTTTGTTAAAGAGCATGTTCAAAAAGGAGTGAAAGAATTTTCATTTTTCTCTGACAATTGCTCAGGGCAAAATAGAAATAAATATTTGTTCAGTTTATATAACTACCTTACACAGAAATACCAAATTACTATTCGCCATCAGTTTATGGAACGAGGACATACACAAACAGAAGGCGACTCAATGCACAGTGTTATTGAAAAAGCTGCTAGACATATCCCTATTTATACCCCTGAACAATGGTACACGTTAGTGCGAACTGCGAAGAGACGTCAACCTTACGAAGTTGGAGAAATTTCTCAGAATGACGTATTCGATTTGAAGCTTTTGCAACAATCGACTACTATTAACTGGGAGAAAGACGAAACAAATGAAAAGATTCATCTTAATAAATTTCGAATTGTTGTTTCTAACGTCCAGTTTCCGAATAAAATATTTTTTAAATACAGCTACGATGAATCGGAACCTTTCAAAATTATTAATCTGGTTGAAAAAGGCCGACGCAAAAAAGATAATGTAGATATAAAAAATACCGAGTTAAAGAAGTGCTATTTAAGAAAGCTTCCGCTATCAAAGAAAAAATTTGATCATTTGCAGTTTTTATGTCAGAAAAAAGCCATATTGCCACAATATCACGAATTATTCTTTAAGAACCTTCCTTATGCTGCACAAGAAAATATAGATTCGGATTCTGATTTGAATTAATTGTTCGGTTGTTTGCCTGCTTTTTGACAAAGTTTGCCTTTCTTTTGTTTTCAAACTACCTAATTTTAGTTTTAAATAACACACCTTAAAAGAATGTTTTTATTTTTATGATTTTATTATCTATACATGTATTATGTATAAGTTTAATCACTTGTTTGTGTCGTTATTTATTTAATGTATTTTTTGTGAAATATTTCCTTTTCATTACCCCCCAGTAAAATTAAAATAAATAATTTGACAAAAATGTGTTTTGGTTTTACTTAAAAAAAAAATAGCACTACAGAACTATCCTATGTAGCTTATCGATTATCCCTGCATATCGTATCTTCTCGTAGAACTATCCTAACTCACACGTCCAATAATATAAACTATGCTATATCCAGATTTTTCCAAAATATGCAAAATTCATTCTGTTTGACTAAACTTTAAAAAAAAGCATGACCCTGAGTGCCAATAATATAATTTGTACAACGATTGTGTCAAAAACCTGAATGTGGAGTGAAAAAAACTCTCTCCTGTAAAATTCGATTTTTGCAGTTCTTCTGCTCTGAAGCGACGATATATAGAATATTTAGTACTGAAATAGAAAATTCTCTAGCGTTCCTCATGATAAATCCCAACATCCTATTAGCCGATGAAACAGTCGTGTCGATATGAGTTGAAGAAGACATTTTTTGATCAAATATGATTCCTAAGTCATCGATTTGCTCTTGCCGCTAAAGGCTAACGTGTCCAAGATAGTAGTTAAAATTTAAGTTTAATTCCTTTGTGAAAGACACAACAAATCACTTGTCCGCATTTAAGTTAAGATGATTGGCATGGCACCATGAAGACACTGTGATAATATCTTGCTGCAAGACAAGGCAGTCATCGATAGTATTGACATAGTTGTATATTTTAAGGTCATCTGCATATCGTCGGACATCTGACAATATGTGACATTTTTGCCCAATTTGAGGTATATGCACATTTTTCTTCGTCTACCTACAGCGCACATTGTGATAGAGTCCGCTTACTGCAGAAAAAATAGTTTTTGAATTATTCAGCCAAAACAGTACCTACCACGGGCAACACGTCTGTCAATGAGCGGCAGTTCCAGCTATCCGACAATTACGCGTGCTATTTTTCTTAACTTTGCAATGAAACACGACGTTGTATTATTGTAAATAGAATTATTGAATTATTAAATGACTATGTTAAGGCGTCAAAAGAAGCTGGTACAAAACCAGAGCCATATGCGGTGATCCAGTTGAGTTACGACTTCTTCAAGGACTACTCTCGAACAGAGGTGCAGCGATACTCAACAATTAGACCACGCAGGGACAATGCAGTCACGGACATCAGAGTACTATGTTATAATCCCGATGGAAAAATTGAAGTGAAACTAGACTTCAGTGTAGAGCCTCAGGAGTTGCCTATGAGACCAAAACAGCTAGCCGTCATTTCAGATTATGATTGTTATATCTAAGGACTGTCACATGTTTTACGACAAATTGCCATATGACCAGGAAAGAAGCTGAATCATTTAAGGTGTGACTGAGAATGCTATTATCTTTTTGATTTGTAAAAACATTAAACTTTTAATTTGATATAATTCTAACACGAATCTCACTAAATCTATCTATGCATCATAGTACAATATCTGCTAACCGCAAAGAAAGTTAGCAGAAATGTCAGCTATCTGCACTAATTTTGTCAATTAGAGCTTCATTGAGATAAAACCGCATTAAATATGTGTTAAACGTCATTTATTTTTTGTGACCAAAGTTGTAGAGTCTTAGGCCCGTATCGTCAGTCGTTCCTACAATTGTAGGGCGCGTTTATGGCCTCCTTGATTGTCATACTCCTTTCTCTCCTTCAAAAATTTCTAGATTACACTTGTCCCGTGTCAGCGTCAGCGCTCTCCTATTGTGAAGATATGTTTTCTTTTTAAATTGTAGGAAATTTCAGGCTGATAAAACATAATATAACTCAAAAGCAAGCACAATTTGATGCAAATAGATGTTTGTGACATAACCTCAAAATAGAGTTCTGACACGGAGAAGTAGAAAACTATGACAATCAAGGAGGCCATAAAGGCACCCTACAATTGTAGGGACGACTGACGATACGGGCCTCAAGGCCGGTAGTATAAAATTGATAAGGTTGTTTTCGTCCCCCGTAAAATTACGGTTCCTGCATATAGCAGGTATTGTCAGATGTCCGACGATCTAATAACTATGAACAGTGCAAGTCAAGAGTTAGATCATTTATATATAAGATAAATAGTAAGGGTCCTAGATTTGAGCCTTGAGGAATTCCTGAAGTAGGCTTTATAAGTGGTAAACGATATCCTCTATAATCAACATATTGACTCCTGTCAAAAAGATACGAGTTAAACAACGACAAAAGAACTTCAGAGAACCCAAAAAAACTCAGTTTTTTCAATAGGATACCTAAATAATATATAATTGCTTCGAAAAAACCAAAATGGGACACTCGTACAGCAATATCCAACTTGTCGACATGAGTCTAATTCATTGAGAGTCTTCAAAATTCTACCGCGGCTAACTGAGTCTATGCAGATCGTTCCCCCAGGCGCTATCATTCGGAACCGCATAGACTTAGAATACGAATATAATGACACAACTGTTAAAAATTAAGCTATGGGATGTCTACTTGTAGTATGGACTTTCATCCTGAATACAGACCGAGATTTTGGAGATGAAGATATCGTGAGCTCCCAATCAAAATTTGTGCATCACAAGCCACCGCATTCTGCCAGTACGGATTGTGAGTTATAGGATGGGAACTTTTCTGTACACCTATATCGCAATAAAATATAATACGCCAAAGCAGATCACTGAGGGAGAAGCTTTTTACAAACCTCAGATGATCATAGCCTTATTTGCAATACATCCGACAAACTTTCCGAATGTACTCGTAACTTTAGATCTGGTGGTGGCACATATTGTCTTATTCTCTATACCCTTAACATTCAACTGCGTTATATTGTTTTGACTGTGGATTGCTGGAGAAGGAGGGTAAGCTTAGCTGACTAGTTAAGATGCAAGTACAAGGTTGCAGCCACAACGTAAAGAAGTTCAAGCCAGAAAGAAAGTTTATTTTTTGTTAGTGTGTAGCTTTCGGAAAATTTTATATATCACAACGCATTACACAGATAATTGTATGATAATTCATATCAAATACAATGTCATCCAATCATTCCTCTTCCGAGACATGCAATTCAAAACACGGAGAAAAAATACCAATTATTATTGAATGAAATCAATAACGCACATGCCACAAATTAAAATACTGATCAGTTTGAAACATTTCACGATATATCCAGAAATATTTGGTAAGAAAAAACTTCAAAGCTAAAATTTAGTTAGTTCTTTGACATGCCGTTTTGCCATTTAAACTGACTGTATTTTAGTTGTGAACTTCACTCTCAATGAATATCTTATGGATGTAATATGAAGTACTTCATATTGACCAATATTTTAATATGCATTTATAATGCTTTTCTCCGTTTTCGGATTGCTTGTTTCTGTAAACTTCAACGTTGTATGTAATTATTCAATCATTTTGTTTTTGTATCTAAAATGTCATGCAATTACCTTCGTAGAGAAGAAAAACAAACCTTGTCTCTGGCTGGAGCGCTCTCAGTGGTTTGGCAGAAATGTCAAACTCCTTATACCTTGTTGTGAATTGCTGTACTATGAAAAGTGCACACATCTAGAGATGACTACCTAGGGTTGGCATTCCTCTGTAAGCGTATCTTCGGCTAACTGCCCCTCCCATTAGAAGGTGTAGGTTCGGTCACCAGATCATGTTTACCTATGATACGGTTTGAGGGATTAATTAGGATCCGATGGCCCAATTGAGGACAATTGGGTTAATACTAGGGCGGACGCCGGAACCTATCAAATATTTTGATGATTTACAGTCTATTTGTTTGTCTGCAGGCTTAGTGAAGCCAACAGCTATTGATGGAGAGTGTCTAGGTACTTCAGCACTACACATGTTTGGCGATTCTCAACATCGAAAATAAACAATCTTCAATCTACATTTCGATAGTAATTTGAAAAAATACTTATGTAACTATTGGTGAAAATAGAAGTTGATCTCTAAGGTTGTTGGCGTTTCCATATGCAAAATACTAAGATAGGCGCGGAGGTGACAAACCGGTATCAGTCGGGCATCACTTTTATGTGACTGCATCCAGAAAGATGTGCTCTGGATTCACACGTTAACTCCACAGGGCATCAAATGAGATACAATGATATATCAAGGTGCTGGACAGAGAAAATTATCTGTCAAAACGCCTGTTCCTGGAAATGTCACATACCGTCATGACTGCATGAACAAAAAAGCTGATGTTAACCAATTTAGCGTCGTCTATGCATATTTGCTGAACTGCGAAAAATTGGAAAAACAACATATCTCCCCTAACATCGACCTCTCCCAATAATCGCTCAAATTACTCAATAAAAATTCTTCACCATCTATAATAAAATTAAAATAAATTTGCTCCAAATCTTTGTGATGATTGCACAAGTGGCTTCACGATGTAATGCTTTCATGTTCTAAAAATTTTTAATCTGTTTTTAACTTGTTCTTGTCACACAGTTGTGTGTATTTTATATAATTTTGACCATTGTACCATCTATCCAGCTTTACCATGTTACTGGGTGTTTCCCTCATCCTGAACGTAAACAACAATTAGCAACATCCTCACATACTACTCTTCTGATGATGATGGCAAAGCCCATTGAAAGCCAGAGAGAATAAAAAAAGTATAAAGAGTCCTCTTTGCTTAAATTTTTGTCGAAGTACCCAACAAAAGGCGTAAGCTTTAATTTTTCACCTAACTGGTCTAGACGACAATGACCACGTCTCAAGTTATATATATATATATATATATATATATATATATATATATTCTCACGCACAAGAATTAATTCTTCTGTGGGTATTTGCAGTTTATTTACGTATATATTTATGTTAGTGTTAGT